GTTCTACTTTCCCACACTTATGTGCATAGTTATTTATATGCAATCTTTAAATAACTCACTGTGGAATGATAAACTGGAGGTGAAGTGTTTTGGATTTATAGCAGATTTAAACACAGGCCTCTCCTGTTTTTCCTTCATCTTACCTTTCCTGTTTGTTTCCGTATTGTGCAGGATCCCAGCGGATAAGTGACAGCGAGATATCAGACTATGATTGTGAGGATGGAGTAGGAGTTATAACAGGTGAGTAACAGGGTCTTATTATAAAGTTGATCAAAGGGGAGATGTCAGAACTAAGTTTAATGAAGCCAGTTTGGATGAGCAATTCCATTTTTTTTTATTTATAGTGTCTCTATGTTAAATATTTGTAAATATCTGAGTCTGTATTTATCTTCTTGTGCTCTAATGACTCTTTTACCTAAACAGTGTTTTAACTTTGTATAGGTACCTTATTAGACCGATAAAATGCTGCAGCCCATCAGTGGAGAGAGAGGGAGGAACTTTAATTTCCAAAGCACGACCACGCGTAGCTTTTGTCTTTTCTTACTAGGCATATGTATAAAGAAAACATTAATTCAAAGTGCACATGCACAATAAATACCCACACTAGATGTTTTATTTAAAACTCACACACGTCAACTACTTTCCATGCACATTTTAAACGTTCAATGCATGCAGATCGAGTACCAGAAGTCACCTAATATATCAGAAGCATGAGTTCATGCTATTTCTTTGCACTTGTGTTCTTCTTATGCCTTTCTTGTCACTTTGAGGCTGAAACCAACCTTAGAAAGTAAACTGTTTGTGATAAGCAGACTGTACTGGTTTCATTCTAGTTGCAGCTAATAATGCTAGCAGAACATGTACAGGCTGATAGCCGTTCTCATAAAGAGCAGTGATGACTTCATGTCCAACAGCCATCGCTGTCATTAACTGACATTTTTTTTATAAGCACAATGTTTGACACTTAAGGTAAAATCTGAACAGTAGCAGCAAACTAAATGTAATGTTCTGTATTCAACTATGCTGGTGAAGATTTTCAATCATCCAGGTCATAGTCATTCCAAAAAAGTAAAAAAACAAGTTTGAAGAAGACGTTTCGCTTTCCATCCAGGCAGCTTTTTCAATTCAAAATGTCAGGAATAGAGTTGAGTTCAAGGTTTTGTACAGAAGCCCAACAAAGTCTTTAGAAAACATGCAAATTGAACCGGACAAATGGATCCACCCCTTTGTAATGGGCGTTGTTTGGCTCTTTTGTTAGCCTGCAATGCCCCATATCTGTCTATGTCTCTGAAATGGATGCCGTCAAAGAGAATTGTTGGCCTGGCTGAATAAGCAAGGTCTTCTGGTCCCCTGTAAAGGGGTTGGGGTTGCAATGATAGCGGGAAGGGATCAACTTAATTGCTGCATTGTAGGTATTGGTATTGAACTATATACAAAATTCTATTCTAGCCTCACTGTCAGGTTGAGTGGAGGCTTTGAGAACCCAAATGCAGAGATCAATAGGCAGAGCTGAGTTTTGCTGATTTAATGAAATAATCACAGGCAGCTGAGGCAAAAATCCAAGATAACGAATATAGACAAATCCAGAAACTAGGAGACATCAGGGAACACTTACATAAGGAGCCAGGAAAAGACGAGGAACCAGCACTGAGGAACTGCACAGAGAGAGTATATATGGGAGACAGAACAAAGACTGGAATAATGAGCTGACAAGGAACAGGTGTGGATGGAAGCATCTAGAACAAGGGTGTCAAACTGGTTCCAGAAAGTGCCGTGTGGCTACAGGTTTTCTTTCCAACCAAGCAATAGCAAAACAGACTCCATTCATCTCATCAAGTCATCATGTTCAGATTGGACTCGCTTGATGAGATGAATGGAGTCTGGTGTGCTATTGCTTGGTTAGAAAGAAAACCTCCAGCCACACGGCCCTTTCTGGAACCAGTTTGACATCCCTGATCTAAAAGGAAGCCAAGGGGAAATGAGAAAAACACAAGGGGGGAACAGAGAGAAACTCCAGAACAAAACGTTGCTAGAAAACAACTACAATAAAAATAAAATAAAAATAAACTTAAGCAGAGGGCAGATCCCTGACACTCAGTTTCCTCAATATAAACAGGTAGGTTAACTTTAGCGTAGCTCACACAAAGTTCCAAATTTAATATGAATAATTTTAGATGTTTAAATCCAAAGCCGAAAAAGTTCCCAGGTTCCCATTTCAGGCACAGACGAGTGATAAAACAGAAAGGATTTTAAGGTAGGAAATACATTATTAACCTTTAACACATTGTAGTTTAGTACGCTTACTATTTTTAGGGAGGGAAAACGTAATTTAGGTCTTTTTTACAAAGTAAAATCGAGGGTGACCCGGATGTTTATTTGGTTACGGAATGAGCTGATGGAACGGATCTAGCTACCAGTAGTAGCTTCCGGTAAGTATTGTGTAGTGACAATTTGACATCAGCGCACAGAAACAGGTCAACACACGAGTAGGAGAGAATCTGCATGGGAATAAAAAGCAAGAGAGCAGAGAAAGAGCAGGCTCCTCATGCCTGAGACACATTGCGGGCCTTTAGGTATTTGATCTGCATGCATAAAACATTAGAAAAATGTCCTGGAGAGTAGTTTAAGTCTGTTTAAAATAAAACTGGTTATGAGTATTTTTGGCTTAATTTTGATGTATGCCAGAATATTTCGAAAAAAAATTACCTAAAGACTTTTTCATTGTTATTTTCTCCAGGAAAAAAAAAAAAACAAAAAACAAAAAACAAACATTAAATATGAGGAGAAAAAAGCTTTAAAAAGTATTTAAATGCTGATAATTGCATGGCTTTGATCATTACCAGCTTTGCTAGCAGGACAGTTTCTGATGAATGCATAATGTGAAGAGCTGCTGGGTTGTTAGGCATGTGGTATTCTTTCACATCCCTATTTGGAAATGTATGCCACAGAGGAGAAGAAAGGGAAACAGGTTGGAAAACAAACAGGGGGCCAGTTACAGTAACCAGTACCACTCATACAGGAAGTCAGACACATTAAGAAAAAAAACAGGTCTGTTATTGCTGGTCTCTTTAACATTTTCATCAGGACTCTGTTGCAACATAAAGCCTGTTTATCTCACTTCACTTTGCCCTTCTTGGACCATATTCTGCACTTTCACTGTTCTGCTCTTTTTAAGTCTTTAGAAGACATTTCTAGTGAGGATAAAGTGTGTTTTTGTCAGTTTTTAAAGATCAAATGTTTACATTTTGTACTCCTGCATTTAAAAGTGACCTTACTGCTTCGAAAATTGACTATATTATTCATACTAGTTGACTCAAAAATGTTTTATTCTAATATTTGCAAAGCAAATTCGTTTGGCTTCAAAATGAAGTCCAGTGTCCTAGTTCCTCATAGACCCAGCTGATTCCTCTCATTAAATCCCAGCAACTGTCAGAAAAGGTTTTTACCTTTTCAACTGACACCCGGTCCTCATACTAGCATGGTATGTTCGTAGCAAGAGAAGATTTCATTTAGCTCTGAGTGGATATTAATCATTCTCCTACCCCAGACTGCAGAATGCAAATGTTTTCCTCATTGACTATAAACACAATGATAAAGTTCAAACATCACCCGATTTGTTCAAATGGTTCTTTGATTAAAATCAGAGAATATAAAAACTACAAATTTGGCATATATAGCTACTGTATCTTTAAAAAACAAACCGGCTTAAAAGGCTGTTTTATCTAAAGTTATTAAATGACCACTTAAGCTTTCAATTAGTCATTATGGTCATTTGTATAAATTAGAGGGGATTTGCTCAAATCAGTTTCTTTAGTGGTGTTAGATTTGTACCATTAGATTAATTTTATAATCTTTCCTACGTTTCTTACTTTTATTTAACTTAATTTGATGTGCCACACACTCTGCTGAATATGAATCAGGTTTAATAGAGCTATGCGTTGACCTTAACCGTGGCTTCTGACCATGTCTGATTATTAGTTAATGAACTTTTTCAGCCTGAATGAACCAAGCAGTCCAGTGGAAAGACTACAAAAAAAATCATTATTGTGTTTCGGATTTTTAAAAGGCTATTTTCATGTTTAATGAACAATGTTAACACAGCAGAATAAAGCACTTTTATTGAAAAGGAGCACTTTTATGCTTGGACCAGATTTGTACTGAACATAGAACGAACAACAAAAAAGAAATGAAGTGGCGTTCCATTTGTTTTAACTGAGAAGTTTGGTTTCTTCTAACTTTTCAATCCAATTCAGTTCAGTTTATTTATATAGCACCAATTAACAACACACGTCATCTCAACCCACTTTACAATTCAACCAGATCATACAGTCAAATTGATTCAAGTTTTCTATCTAAGGTAAACCAGTTGATTGCATCGACTCACACTAAGCATGCTTGTAGCGACAGTGAAGAGCAAAAACTTCCTTTTAACAGGAAGAAATCATTTGCCAGCAGATCAGACTCAGGTGAGCGGCCATCTGGCAAGGCCGACTGATGTTCGAGGAGACAGAAGCAGACAGAGAAAGAA